TGTCCGATAACCTGCGCTGCTGTTCCTCCGTCCACTGAGGAGACCGCAGTGGGGCAGGAATGCCCTCGTCTGGGGCTCGTTCAGGTCTCCATCATGGCTGGCCTTAGAGGGGCTTTCTCTGCCTACTGAGTCCAGCACACAGCCACACCCTCGGGGGCAAGCAGCAGCCCACGTCAGCCCCGCACTTCACATGAACCAAGTGCTCAGGAGCAGGGACTGACTCCATCACACACTTGAGAACAGGACTTCCCAGAGAGCTGTGGCCCCTGGTGGTCATCACCGACCACCAAGGGATCCTGCAGTACTAGCAAAGTCAGTCACACCTCTGCAGTGTCTCAGAAGGGACAAGGGCAAATCAGTTGGTGTCCCAGCCCAGGTCGACTTGCAGGCTCCATGTGCTGGCAAACAGTTCTGAGCATCAAGTGCTTCCCTAATAAAACAGGGGTCTTAGCCAAGGTCACAAGGATCTTGGGAAGAGAGGTGGGCCACACACCTACGTTTCCAGCATAATGCCTGGATGGTGTGCCCAATAATGACACAACGCCCACCCTACCATGGGAGAGAGGGCCGGGGGCTCTGCTGTCCTCCAGAAGCACAGCAAGGAGCCATCCCTCCCAAGCTGGGCCCTCCAGGAGGAGCACAACTCGGCAGACCCACCCTGGCAGGGAACCTCAGGAAGTACAGGCTTGCTTATTCCAGACACTTGAATGACAGAGTGAAAATTAAGACCCTCTGTTTCGTTCTGTGCCTCCCTGGCTGGTAAATCAACTTTGATTAGAACCAGCAGTCATGACGGGAGGGAGGTGGGCAACAGCACTAACAGAGCAGAAAACGACCCACCAGGAGGAGTCAGGGGCTGGGGGCATGAGCATGTGTGACTGTGGACAAGAATGGCCTCTGAAAACAGAAACAAGGGGACTAGGTGAATGATCTCGCTGCTCCTATCGGGAGTGGTGCCAGGATTTTGAGATTCTCAGAAAGAAAGGACAAGCAAGGGCTGAATCAACACTCCCCAGAGAATGGCTCCCATGTGAGCTTGGCTCTGTGGCTCAGGAATAAAATCCAAATGAGAACCAGGAACCCAGAGCTCCAGCTGGGGCCCTTCCTTCCCTCTCCACAGAGAGCTGGCTGAAGCTCCACCAGCATCTTCCCCACCGCCCCTGCCGCGGCCCCCTGGCTGCTTCTCATCTACAGAGTTCCCCTGGAGAAGAAAGGCCCTGCGTATCTCCCTCTCGGTTGTGGTTTCTGACACTGGCAGTCGTACCTCTGGTCAAAAACTGGAGCAGGATCACACATCCCTAAGGCAGCTGGATGGAAGCCACCGCACGGCTGATGACCAGGGCAGGCCAAGAGCTCAGGAGGACCATGGGAGCCCACAACGCTAGGACCATCATGGCCACAGCCACATACCTCCACTCTCCTCAACTGTGGACAGTCTTTGTTTCTGGAGTAAGGCGATACTTTCCCTTCTGTTTCGGGGGGAAGAAATCTGTCCTGGCAGAAACAGGGCAGAGGTCCTAATGACTAGGATGAGGACCTCAACCTAACCCCGCTGGCGTGCTAAAAGCCACACCTCAGATGGTTGGCACAGCCTAGTCCCCACGGCAGCAAGGACCTCCCCACCACCAAGCACATCATCTCACCAGTGCCCAGGGACCTCAGATCATCTTTCCCTGGGGCCTCGTGAGACAGATCAAGCTTCTACAACATTATCACAATCGGTCAAAATAACGCAGCGCACAAGCTTCTCTGGGTGCAGGCAGCCGGATAGGCTATCACGTCTTTGCCAAACCAATGCCACCACTACTCCACCATCATCTTTCAGAACAAAAGCTAAGGGCTTTGATTTGCATTTCTACTTATTTGTAGACATGTAACAAAAAGTGCCTATTTTCCCCTGATGCTTTTGTTAAAATCACATGGTAACTGGGTGCTGCTGCAAATAATAATGCTTAATAACAAAACAGTACAAGAAAAACAATGATCCATCAGACCCGACAGAAAACCAACTCTGCTTCCTGGAGAAGGCAGCAAACCACAGGGCACTTTGGGTTTTCATTTTATAACAAGTAACAACATACAGAACAGACAGTAAGCAGAACAAAATGCAACAGATCCAAATGTAGCATGTTATCACTCATCAGTAATGACAAAATGAGTCTCTTAGGGCGGAGAAAGATGAAATGTTTGATTTGAAGTTATTAAAAAAACAAAAAGCCACAAACTAAATACCAAGTCTAGAATAACAGGCATATAATGCTTTTAAATCAGGACATATTCAAAAATACTAAGAGGACAAAAATGATGTATAAATGGTTCTAGTGCCTCACAGGTTTGCCATCCTGAGGCTGTGACTTTTCATGAGTTTTGTGTTTTTCATCTACTTCCTTCTCCTCTGCCCACATTAAAAAACGAGAGACCTCCACAGGTAAGTTATCAACTTACAATCCACATGTGGTCCTCCCTCCAGCTGCAATCCAAGATGCTCCTCTTGTCTTGGTATGCATCAATCACAGGTGGAGGTGAGTGGGCAGCCATCCAAAAAGTGGGTTACAACTTACTGGCCATACAGAGGAGGTCCAAGGGCTAACATGTGCTTTCTGGGGACATGGAGAACTCTGCCCTGTGAGTCTATGCAAGGTGGTCAGGGGCAAAGGTCAACTCCGTGGCAGGATGCCCAGTGCTGGTGGGGCAGCCAGGCCAACAGGCCACAGTCAACGTGGATGTGGCTGTAGACACCACAAGGCATCCTCCTGGCACAGTGGCCCTCCTCCACTTCTGGCCAACTCCAGTGTTGTACTGAGCCACTCAAGCTCTTCCAGAATGCTATCAAAAACTGTAACCCAAAATTATGCCAAAAACGCAGAAGTGCTGGGAACTGCAACAAAGGCCAAGTGTCTGAGCATGCTTGGTGCTCAGGGAAAATTTATCAGGAATTGTACTGCAATTTTGTTCTGATACTGGATGAATTTATTATGCAGTGTTAACGTTCCTCTCCCTGAGATGGAGACCACTGCTAAACAGAATCTTGCAGTGGTTCAATTATTAGTTGAGTCAAATGAAAACGCCATTACTCAACCATTTTTGATACTAAAAAAGCCCACTGCATCCTTACACTATGAATTACCACATTTTTATCTTTAGAGCAGTTTTTCAACTCCACAGTGTCTGCAAAATGTACCAAGCCTCACTCTCAAGTTGTGACTCTCCATGCGAGATGATCCCCCACCAGCAGGTGAGTCTCGGGCACCTTTCGATGAAGGACTCCAGGACTGGGCATGGCCAGCGCTCGCACATGGGAATGGACACCTATGGAAGTCAGACGGATTTCCATCACTGTGACCCACTGAAAACATGTTCAGCCCCAGCACTCAATACTGGAACTAACACCTGCCAACCCAAGGCTCACAAAGAATTTGTACAACAATGTCTCTGCTTGAGAATCCTGGGCAGAGTCCAGCACAGAGGGTCTAAAGAGAAAAGGTTTTTTTAAGAAGGAGGAGTGAAAATCAGAAAATAAATAAATGTTGGCCTTGAAAGGCAAAACTGGATGTATACGGTTGAGTGACCATCATGACTTACTAATAAATACACCCATGTTCCCCTCAAAGAAGGTTCAACGATATTTCTAGTCTCTCAACTTCCCACTGATAAGATTCTCAGAATTGTTCAAGGATCACAGAGTCTCCCCTGATAAGTAACCCTCTGTGAATTGCATGTTCTGCTGTGGCCTTCTGCCGGGCAAACCTTCTCAGATCACTCCTAAGAAAGTTTCCAGACTTCTACATCAAACTAAATCTTAAAAGACAAGGGATCTTGGTGACCATCCCAGGCCAACCACTCAATTCACAAAAAAGGCTTTCAAATGCCTAGAAGAGGTGACCTGTCGGTGAGCAGACTCAACAGGCCTAGGTCCTGGGTAGCTGCCTCAGTGTCGCCAACTGACCCTGCTCCATGGGAAAAGGGAGGGAGACACAGAATGAGACCCTTCCCCAGGCCACAAGCCACTCAGCTGGTTGGGTTCAGGATAAGGGTCAGCTCGGCCCCCAGGCGGCTGCCCACTGGTGCTCACAGCCCTGAGGGAAGTTAGGCCTAAGTGCACCAGTGGTGGACCCGACCTTTCTCTGAGCCAGAGACTCTGTCCACGCAACACTTCAGGCAACAGCCTAGGGGGTTGACGGAGAGGACACTGAGACAATTTGCTCACACATTTCTTTTTTCTTGATGTTGTTAGCTCAAAGAGAAAACATTTTTTTTCAGCAGGATAAAAATCAATCACTTCTGAGAAGTCGCCACTTTGAGTAAGATCCAGATTCTGTGAAAAGTGGCTAGAGGTGTGTTGAAACTAAACTCAGGATCCCCAAACCTTGCCATGGGTGGAGGACTGAACTGCATCAATTGATATTTTCTCAACCACACTCCAAATGCGGGCAGACAGAATGGAATGCTCTCCTCGGCACACACCCACACGCCCAGTCAACTCCACCAGAAAAAATCATTATCTGTCCAAGACATCCTAGAGGTTGGTGACTCTAAAAATCTAAGCTCATTAAAGATGTGCCATCATCAGCAAGCTGTTTTCTTTCCAAAGACGTCCGTCTACCATTTTATTTGAGCCACTGTGGTGGCAAGAGACTATTTCTCTAATTCATTTTTATTCTTTGTAATTAATATGTCGAGAGCTCCTGACACGATTTCCATTGTGCCTTAAGTTTCCTACTCGTATAATTTTCATTGACTTATCTCTTCAGCAGCAGCAACAATCACTTTACACTGAACTATACTGCTTCAGAGTTAATTACACGTATTTTGCTTTTGACAAATGAAAATACCAGATGCAATTAATTGAAAGACAATCAATATGATCCTGCTATTAGACATCCCAATGAAACATCCGGAGGCTGCCGGCGATCCATAGTCATCAACTAATTGAAAACACATTCCAAAGGGGATTTTAGAAAACCTGAACTTTTACCTGGAGATATTGTACAATAACTCACCAATATAAATCTGTCCACAAACTCTACAGTTCACACGATGGGCCGTCTGTCTTTTTAAGGGAATCCAGCTTCATTTGTTCAAAACCATTTAAGGCGATGAAACCCTGAAAGCAAAATGAACTGGGTCAGTGAAGCTGAAGCAGTGATTTTTTTTTTGCTGTTTACATCTAGCCATCCTTTAATTGCATTTTTCCAATGCCTTCGATTCTAAGCTACCAGAAGTTATTAAATGGTTTCATTAAAAATACTATTTGTCTTGCTTTAGTCACACACCAGATCAAATTAAACAGTAGAGCACCAGAACAAATGAACCCTTTCCATCTATTTTGACACAAAGCCAAGTGTGCCAAACCAGAAGGTGATATTGTCTCATCAGCGTGAAAATGTCATTTAGCTTTCTTTACATCTCCAAGAAGCAAGCAAAGGGACAAAACAATCGATACCTTCAAGCAAAAAGTATTACCAACAGTTTGAGAAATATGGAATTATAAAGTGCAATTCATAAGCCCATGGTTTATAAGTTATAAGTGCTATTAGCATAAATGCTGACAACTGTTAATCCACTGAAACTCTGATTAACGGTCGCAGTTGTCCATTAATAGAAGGCATTTTAACTTACTACTGAAATTGATTACTCAGTTAAGAATTCAATCCTAATGTTCAATAAAATTGCACTTTCTTGGCAAATGCAATATGAAATGAGGTGATGCATTAAACTGCCCTCACATTTATTTTACTATACGTGGAATGAAGAGGAAATATACGGTGCCATCACGTTATCTGAACCACTTCCTGTACACACAGAGCTGTGGGAGCGGCAGGTGGGGAAGTTACTCGTCCTGAGGCCGACAGAAAAGGCAAACCCCTGGGCAGCAGACCCGGCCAGGTGTCTTTTCTGTGGTTTTCCCACGCAGAACAGACCGAGTTTCAACACTGGGGTTGCTATGCGACTGCAGTGTCCATATCTTAAGGTAGTCTTTCTCAAGTCCCAAGAGAAAGGAGAAGTCCGTTTCACGGAAATGAACTGCTGCAGCCACTGCCGACCCTTTCCCAGTCTACCTTATGGTCAATCAGGATTCGAATGGTATTATATTACAATATGTATGAAATGACCATAAGCAGCGTCCCAGCTACACTCTACTTTTCAAACCATTCAAATCTTAGGAAGCCAAGATACAGTTCATAGATTTTTTTCCTCCTCTTTTAAAACAATGGGCTCATCTCTTGAGATCCAATCCTGTGACATGTCCTGCACGATTGTGCAGCAAGTCAGAGAAAGGAACCACTGGACCTCCCAGGCCTGTCCACTCCCCATTCCAAAGGAAACCACGCTGCTGGGTGGTTCTCTCTGTAATGTAATGAAGCGGAGCATTCGAGGGTTCCGACATCAGCTGGCTCCTGCTTCACAACTAGAACCGAGTCAACGGCAGAACGGTTCTCAAGAACTACTCAGGAAAAGGGAGGCCTCTCCAGTCAGGGTTACCATACACCCAAGGTCAAGGAGTAGTTCATCCCAACTGCGCCCCCACATCACCTCATACCCCAGACTTTCTAATTCAAGGAAGCTGGGGGGGGGGGGGGGGCGTGGGGAGGCAGGACACATTCTACCCTCTTAAGTGCTAGGAAAGGAGGCACAGGCATAGGCTCTCAATAGTCTCAAGCCTTAGTCTAAGGACTCAGTGCAGTTTCCCGTTAACTAAGCACGTACTACAGCCAAAGGATCATTCTTTTAAGGTGGCAACAGTTTGCCTAGCAAATTCCTATCCACCCTTCAAAACTCATCTCATAGGTATCTCCTGTAACACCCTCCCTACTCTGATGGCCAGGCTGCTTCATCCCCTGCCCATCCCCAAGTCTCTAACCGTTAAACACCTAGATTCCATGATATTCATCTCTGGATTTCTCCATATCTGGAACATAGTAGGAAATCAAATATTTAACTAATTCACTGCATAACAGAAGTTATATTCCCTGTATAGTATTGCTTGTCCTTGCATGTCATGAGCTTCCTTCTTCCTTCTATTTCCAATGCTTTGCAAGGTAGACAGTCAAATGTTTATGGATGTAAAGAAAGAATCTCCAAAAATACAAGAAAGTTATACATAGATATGTATACATATATATGTGAAGGGGTGGTCCCTTTTGGGGCACCCCGAACTTAACCACTAGGCCACCGGGGCTGGCCCACTTCTTGTTTTTTAAACAAAGATCTGAAGACAAATAAAGCAACATATTAACATCTAATTAATCTTAGTGACAGGCACAGACTCTTAATTTGAGATACTTCACGTAAAATTAAACAAGGAACAGACAACTGTGCCTGTGCAGAAGGCTTCACAGAGGAGGTGAGGTTTCAAGGAATTTCAAGCCAGAAATTCAGGAGAGCCTGCAGACTGCCCGAGCAAACGGTGATGGCTTATTTAGCGGATTAATAACATGAAAAGGCCTGGGAGACTGTCGGAATCTTTAAAGCAAGCGTCCATTGTTACTTGAAGGCAGAAAGAAGTACTTAAAAAGACTGGAGCTACAGAAAGGCTAAAAACTCAAAAACACTTGTCTCAGTAGATGCTTGATGACAGTACAACGTGGAGCAGCGCCCCGCAGATTCGCCAGGGGAAATTTTCTTGGCAGAATTTCTCTAAGAACTTCCAGGAGTCTACAAGACGACACAGAAATGACTTAGCTGATTAAAATCACCACCGCTCCTAAACCAGCACCCACAGGAGCCTAAGCAGGCTGTTCCACTGAGTAATTTGGCCTCGGTGAGGACACGCCAGTCAGCTCCCAGGTGACTCAGCTGCTTCTGGCCAGGGAGAAGGCCTCCTACTTTCGGCCTGTGCCATCAACCTGGGTAAGTCTATTAAGCATCACTTGGTAAACGTGTTCCACCTACAGGTGATGACAATGAGGGGTGGGCACCCCCCCCCCCACACCCACAGGAGAGGAACAGCAGCACCCAGAGCCTAGAAGATTCTGAACAAAGCTGTGGACCTGGGGTTTTCTACACACAGGAAACTAACAATTTAAGACACAATGCCTAGAAGGGTCCCCTCCACCTGGATTTTCAGTTTCTTCTGTGAAGTCAGGCACATGAAAATTACATTTTAGGTATATAGTTAAGCCTACTTTTCTGAAACTGAATGAGATGAACCCCTGGAAAATCTGATTAGACCCTAAGATTTGCTCTAAAAAGGTCTGGAGGAGGGTCTGAGAGACTCCGCCCTGGCTCATTCCAGGAGGACGAGTCCTGCCCTCACTTGAGCTTCAGCCCTCTTTTGGAACGGCTCCTGTGCTCTGCTTCCGTGCCCTGCACAGCATCAAAGCCCTCCACCAACCAAACTGTCGAGAGAGGAGAGGGCACTGGGGCGGCTCAGCCTGGGCTCCGCCAGCACCGTCGCCCCTGGGCTCCGCCAGCACCGTCGGCACATTTACCTAACCAAGTGCCCACTTTCTCGCACTTACTCTGCATGAATTATTTCTAATGCTGTTTCTTGCATCCAAGGCTTTAATGTGCCAGCTCTTGTTACAACTCGGGACCTGCCCTGGACCCCACCTGGATTCTGTGCTCTGACTGACTCACACTTGGGTTATCTAGGCTTGAAAATGCCCCTCTGCTGTCCTGCCACAGGTGGTGGGGGCTGCTTCACCCCGTTTAAGGGCAGAAGTTCCTGCCTCCTCCTCTCCAGGATGGCCAGTGAGGAAGAGCGTGCTGGGCTTGGGCATTCATGAGAAGGAGAAAAGTCCCCAAGCGGTAAACGTGAACAGACGCAGGAGGCCCGGGTGCCCGGGAGAACACCAACCTCATCTGGAAGCTGCTGGAGGCTTCCATGGGGCTTGCCCTTCTCCATACTGCGCTCGCCTCGGATCCAGGGGGCCCATTAACAGTGACTACTTAAACAGAAAACCAGAAAGTAGTCCGCAAAACCATCCCTTAAGACAGTCACAAATTTACTGCAGTAAAGGGCTAGTGGCAGGGGACAGGGAGAGAGTGTGGGGTTGCCAGGACACCACACAGAAGAATCCCAGGTCCCACAGGCCACTATGAACAACTCCCTGGGACTCCGTCCTGCCTGAGATGGGCAGGGCCCTTTCAAAGAGACAAGGAAGTTGGGCCTGGAGCCTGCATACAGCAAGTACTCAGTAAACACTAGTCATCATCAGACTTGGCACATGACTCTAGGACAAAGTTTTCATCATCAGCATCTTCTAAGAACCAAACTCATCTCTGCCCATATCATGAGACAAATGGCTCATAGTTACCACAAGAATCCAACACTCCTCACCGGGTCACTGAGGAGACGACACGCTCCCCTGGGAGGGTGGCCTCATCCTCACCTCACTGAGTTGTATGCAAGCAGGGCTACGCCCCAAAAAGAACAGGGGACTGGGTGAAGAGCCATCCAGAATCCTGGCCTTCTCTTGTAAATGTTCTCTTGGCACAGATGCGGTGGGCCGGCGCTCTCAAGAGGGCTCCCGTTGTTATCAAATTTACAACTGAGCCCTGCTAACAGGACGCCTCCAGGAAGTGCGCCTTCTCCCGCAGCTGCAAGGCCCCACCTCATGGCATCCTGCTGCCCACGGTGCCTCGGGGAAGGGCGGCCCAGCTGGGGCTGCTGCCCAGAGGGACCCACAGAAAAGGAACCTGAGCCACAGCTCCAGAGAAGGCTCACCCTGCCCAGCCAAGGAGCCCATCGTGACCTGAAGGTCTGTGTGTCCAGCCCCCGCAAGCCCTATTTCCATCTAGTCACCCCTCTGCTCCAGACACTAGCCCCATAGTACTGTTTTGGGGTGTCAGCCTGTGCGAGAATGGAGTGACTCTCGTGATGGGGCCACAATAGGGACATGAAGGCATGGGAAGTGGGTGCCAGGGGCCTTCCCATGAATCTATAGCAGATCCCCACAACTATTTCGAACAGCAGATGGCAAGAAGTCTCAGGCAGATGTGGAACCCAGAAGTTCACAGAGAAACCAAATGCCTGCCCTCCAAAACTGACCTGCTTGTATCAGCAGAAGTCCCTCCGGCCAGACACACAGACACACACACAGACAGTACGCAGGCGTTAATTTTGGGCCACACGCAGCTGCACCAGGAGTGCTTTTCACA